TACCCGTACATCATATAAAACTCATATCAACAAACAAAACAAACGAAACAAATTTTAACAAACAAACCGACAAAATCGTGATCTACAATTCACCAAAACGCATACACCATCCCGACAAAACACAAACACGGGACAATCAGCAAATTGAAAACACGGTAAGACAGCCCCCAGAAACAAGTTAATACCTCAATAACAAGAGATGCTACGACCACAACATATACATCGAAATAAAGCTTAGACATGACACTACACACCCAAGCCGTTGAAAAACAACTTACCTACCACTTACATACCAAAAAAAGCCACAAAACAAACACGAAATTTACAAACCAAAATACCACAAAACTCCGATAAAACCAAAATACCGTAACCAATCGCGAGCGAGCTAACAACTCCCCCAAAGCACACACTATCAAAATAAAAAACACCTAACCATAAGGGTAAACAACAAACCAAACAAACAAATTGACAACAACTTGATGCAATTAATCAATACGCATACACGATCCCGACAAAACACAAACACGGGATAATCAAAACATAATGAAATCACGGGAAGACAGCCTCCAAAATCAAGTTAATATCTCAACAACAAGAGATGCTACTACCATAACACACACACCAAAATGAACCTCAGACATGACACTACACACCCAAACTGTTGCAAAACAACTTATCTACCACTTACATATAAAAACGCCACACAAAACAAATAAAACAAGAAATTTACAAACCGAAATACTACAAAACTCCGATAAAACCAAAATACAAACAATTGCGAACAAGCTAACAACTCCCCCAACGCACACACTACTGACATAAAAAACACCTAACCATAAAGGGTAAAAAACAAACCAAACAAACAAAACAAATTCGAACAAACAAACTGACCACAACTTGATGCAATTAATCAATACGCATACGATCCCGACAAATCACAAACACGGGATAATCAAAACATAATGAAATCACGGGAAGACAGCCTCCAAAATCAAGTTAATATCTCAACAACAAGAGATGCTATTACCATAACACACACACCAAAGTAAACCTCAGACATGACACTATACACCCAATTCATGGAAAAACAACTTTTCTACCACATACATACCACAAACGCCGCCAAACATACACGAAATTTACAAACCAAAATACTGCAAAACTTCGATAAAACCAAAATACAACCCGACACGGGAAAACAGATCCCCTGTCAAGTAAACATATTAACAATAATATATACTACCACCACTACACACTGTCACACAAATCAACACTAAGCTCAAACACAAGACGAAACACCCAAACCTTTGACAAACAGGGATCCCACCACAAACTCACACTACACACATCCAAACCAATACCATTTTTATAAACGAAAATACCGCAAACTCCGATAAAGCAGAAACGCTACTAAAGACAACGAATTTACAACTCTTCCAATTTACATACCATGAACATAAAACATACACCACTATATATGAAGACCTCTCGCCAGAAATGACACTTGTACTATGTACTGTAATGCGCCAGGCTAGCTGCGTTAGATACGCTAATAAGAGGCATTTCCAACAATGATTACTGGGATTGTTCACATACTGCACCAGACTGTAAATTTCACGTAAATTCATCGCATTGATTAAATTCACTATCCAATAAAAATGTGCATTTATACTGTGCTGCGGTTAAATGGGAACAGATGATTTAAAAAGAATTTCGAAAAACGCTTTGTTAAATTATTTGTTTCCGTCTAGGGCGACTTATTTAGAGAGTCTTATCAATTGTATAATAAAATGTGATGTACATGGAAAGCATACATCTTCATTCATCAGATGTTTATCGGGAACTGGGAATGAACTGGGAATGAAAGATCGTGTAATTGTACGTTGAAAGATAATGGTTTTAAACCTGATTTACCATTTGCCCATCGGGTAAGTAAATGGAATTTCATACACTTACAATGTAACTACGTGAAAATATAATGTGGCGTCCGTGGAACGAATGGTGAGCGAAAGCTACGCGAATGAACCAACTCCGTGGTACATACGAAATTACCCCGCGATGAGCTTGAAGCGCACTCGTGACGCGCCCGCGGTGACCACGAAAAGCGTTCGATTTGACCACGAAATTCGGGCGGCATGCCGACGACATGGCATGGTGTAAGGCTAGTAATTAGATGTACGGTACATGCCATCTATTGATCGCCCACATCTATCTTTCTTGTGTTCTCTATAGTACTGGAAATCCGACCAAGTAATCAGTGTATACTATGATCATTGGTGTGATTGATGAGATGTCGGGTTGTTATGACCTCTACCTTTGATAAAACATTTTCCATAGCAAAAGCATTATGATACTGTGTCTTTAGGAAAGTTGAGCCCAAATATTTTTTTATGATACCATAATGCACTGCTTTGTCCTTTTCATTAACCATTTTATCGCAATTATTTAATCTACGATGATTAAACAAAGTTCTCATGTTTACCTACTTTCATTCATAATTGCCATTCAAACAGTTTACTTTATGCGGGAAATGGCAAATAAGGAAACACATACATCTATTGGAAGAATATATCTGAAAGTTCATGATGTTTCGATGTGTTATCATTTTACAAGAGATTTCTGGAGGTTTGAAGCATTTAAAACAGATCGTTTTATCTTCTCTCATACTGGCGATGTGACAATCTACTGGGTTTCTTGTAGCCCCATGCAGGTTTCTTTTTATTACTTTAATTTTAAAACCCTAAAAATGAGTAGCAATTAGTGAAATGAGTAGGTAGTTTTCGCATTGCCAGTAATCTATATACGTATTTGTGCTTATTTCTTCACCGTTATATGTTTTCAGAATATTTCATGAAAACAAACTTTGTCCCGTAAATATTCTATCTGCATAAAACTGTATCAATCGTGTCAGACACAAATAATTATGAATCATGAAATAGACTTGCATTAGGCCTCTACCCCATCCCGAATATATATCTCTTATCTGCATTAGAGGAATACTAGGGAGGTGGAGGGGTAAACGAGATTTATTCACTGTTTAAATTCTTTCCTAACTTGGGACTACTCTGTAAGTTTTACTACACACAACTTAGAAATTAAAGCATTGTATTTCTTTATAATTTCCTTTCATTTATTTATTTTATTTTACAATTTATTAATCAAATCAATAAAACTTAGATTTGAATGTTTACAAAACAAACAATTGTGTTTCATACCCTACAAATAATAGCAGCATTACATAATAGAGATGAAACAATACAATATAGGAATGTACCTAGCATTAAAGCTTTAATTAAAACTAGTAATAGGCATTTACTAAATAAAACTTGATAAATGGAATATTTTAAATATACCAGGCCATATGCTACATATGTTATCAATATACAATTTCGTTTCATATGATATATGTTTTAATATATTTTTAGACCCGCTATGTACAAAAAGAAAATATATTCAATCTCCCATTTTCATCTATAAAGTTCACTCTCCATTGGGAGTGATTCCTCCAATCTATATATAGGACGTGATGGAGCGATTCCTGCATTTGGGGAATGCTATAACTGACTACCTGCACCCTCTTTTGAGAAAAAATTGAGTTATTTACATCAATCAATTTATCAATGAACATATATATATAACCTTTAGCTTTGGGGCTGAATGCGAGATTTTGGAAACGATAATTTTTGAAACTAGATCAGAATTTATTCTGGAAAAAACAATTGGGCCTGTATAATAATTTTTCTGTCCTATCCTCTTTCTAGGTCCAAAGCCTAGAATATTTCAGTATACAAGAACCAATAACGATCTGTCCCTATACATTTTAAGATCCACCTTTGGCAAAACAAATAACATAGTCTAACCTTGGATGGAGTAAAGAAAGGTCTAGCCTACATACATACGTCTTATGCAAACCCATTTCATAGTAATGAATGATGTCACTTTTATGCCCTAAGTATGTAAAGTTACCTAGGTATAAAGACATGATCAAGAGTAAACAAGAGTGTAAAACGCATTTGGAGTTATTTAACTGTACTGTAGATCTTGTGATCTCCCAATCCACCATACACATTCTTCATAAGAGGTGAGGTTAGAGGGAGATCCAGTAACCTTTTGCAAGGCTTACTCAAAATTCACCAGCAGCTGACCGATCAAATTGCAAATATGAAAACTGACTTTTATGAGTGACTTCACTTTCAGTTTCCAATTTTCTTCCAAGTTGTTTATTATGCACCTGGAGGTGGGAAATATTGGAAATACTAAAATCTGATTTATTCCCTAGCCAACCAGTATTTTTGTATACTGTATATGGAAAGGTGCATAATAAAATACATGATGACCCTTGGAAATGAAAATAGACTTAACTTTGTGTTGTTCAATATTTTCCCTTGGATAGGTGGTATATGTACACATCCCCCAGAGTATCATGTTCACCTAAATGATATAGCATCAATGCTATTGTATGATCTTAATCTCCACATATTGCACACACATTGACTCAACAAATAACCTACTTTACACTGCTGCAAACAAGTGACACAGAAATGTAATGCAGAGTTTAAAATCCAATTACATTCAGTAAATATAAAGGACCCATGCAGATTTTGTCATACAAGGACTTAAAACTTATGAGCATTGCATTGTCATCCACAGAGCCCTTGATGTGATGTCACATCACAATGCAGATTCCAGGGGCAGATTCCATAACAAACTGTCATGCATCTATCAAAAATTAGAAAATGACTATGCTGCAATCTGATTGGATGAGAAATCCAAATAGAGCATGATCATGTTTGAATTATGTTTTAAGCAAAACAATAGTGATAACTGGATATCTAATTCTACTGACAGAAACCCAAAGAGTTTCTTGAGGTCTTTTGGGAAGTTTGCAGCAGTTTAATCTCTATAATCTATCCACTAATATACTAATAATTCTAAATATTATACTAACATCTCTAAATATTATACTCATATGTCTAAATACAGTGAAACCTGTAAAGTGGAACACATCTAAAAATGGAACATTTTTTAGAGGGCCAAGATCAACTTAATGTTAAATGAACCCCTATAAATGGAATACCTCTCAAGTGCAACGGTTTTTAGAGGTACCAAAGGTGTCCACTTTGACGGGTTTTACTGTACACACTTTTACACTCTTTATCAGGGATACATCATAATGTTTACCTTTTAATTTCAATGTACATATAGTATAACTATTTACCTACCATACTTATTCATTCTGTACATATACTTCCAAAAATATATATCACCTTTTTACAATAAATAAATATACTTTTAATCACACACTCACTGCTTACATGTACATATCGATTACATAACTGTAAATATACCAGCTTTAATAACAAGATCATTTGACTTTTAAGTAATATTACTTCAGCTTTTTTAAAAGTTAAATGGTGGGATCACTTATAAGTATTATATGACAATACACAATTCATATATTTTTATACATCACTGGCAAAATAGCACTTTAAATTTCTATTTTGCACCTTTTCATCAAAAACATGACTAAAATTGTATTGACCCCCTGACTGAGCTATTGGAGTAAGCTGCATAAATATGCATATGGTGATAGGTGGGCAATGACTAAAAATTTCTATATTTACAATTATTTTGCAAATGCATGATTTTGCATTATTTACTGCATACAGTGTTTGTACTATAACCATACCATAACCAGAAAAAGATAATTGAATGTCCTAACCCTCTTTTCCAGAAAAAGTACAATTTGTCTTATAATCTATTATTAGCCTATATCATCGTATTATTCACAATTCCTTGTAACATCAAGTCATATAGTTGTATTATTAATTATGAAGTATCAATCTTCAAATCTTAATTAAAAGTATCAATCTTCACAGCTCAATTATCATGGTATGAATTTTCTCAACTGAAAGGAAATTTAAATTTCACATATTTCCTTAACATTATTATGATTTTCCAAATTACCAACATGCAGTAAGTAGACCTTCAACTTAATACAAGGTGGAGTTCATCCAACTGCTTAAATGCTGGCGAGATCACTATTCAGATATCTTTTAGTTCTTTGCATATTCATCACTCAATTTCTTGAAAAAGTCCTATATAATTGTACATTTAACCAAACTGCTTCATATTTTTTGAATAACTCAACATTAAGCTTTTTGTATCGTTGCACTATATTCATCTATATCTGAGTCACTTAAGTGTTCTAGCTCTTGGTCTTCTGCAGAGAGTCTCTCAAATCCTTTATGACTTCTAATTAGTCCACCAAAACTAAACACTTCCCGTCTATTTTTTGTGTAGCCTGATAAACATGACAGTTTACCTGTAAACAGATACATATAATGATAAAATAATATTATTTATACCATTTACAGGTTTTTGTTTATGAAGTAAATTTTACATAAACATAAAACATTCTTGAACAAGAACAAATGACACATGGTTTATTGTGAATTATTAAATAAGGGACATTTTGGCATAATATTTTCCTAAAGATCCTCAAATTATCAACTATTAAACTGTAATTGCATTAAACATTTTTGTAGTAACATTTTTGATATTGCTCAACAGACTTAATATATCACATGTGGATTCAAATAAAAACTTAATGTTGACTCACCACTATTTTTTAACCTGATTATAAGTACAACAACCATGATAACTAAGATTGGCACAATAAGTAGAGCCCCAATTATAAGGGAAGCATCAAAGCTTGGAGGACCCTCGGGTTCTGAAGAGTCATCCTCTGTGGCGACTGACTCGCTGATGTGGGATATCTCATTCAAAAGAACTCCACTGTTAGGTTTTTGGTTGTCTTCGCCTCCCTTGTTGTCAGGGTTCATCAGGTGCTCCACACCCCCCTTCTTAACTGATGTAGCTTCCTCATTTGTTTCTACATTGACATTGGGCTCTGAAAATATACATGGTGTTATATTTCATATTTCATGTCATAATATGGTGTCATATCTTATATTTCATGTCATAATGTGGTTTCATGTTTTATATTTCATGTCATAATATGGAGTCATATTTTATTGACAGGGTATGACAAAATATGCCAAATTGGAAAGTTATTGCAAATGGTTACACATCTGTAACAATTGTTACATATGCCAACTACTGATGCCAGACACTAGTCACAAACAAAGCATCAACATGCAAAATATTTCCACCTGCCATTTGTTACAGATGCCATTTGTTATAGATCTTGCCGAACTCCAAGCATCAACCGCCATCCACAAAAAATGACGATAAGAATATGTCACCACTTGTGGGGTGACTTAAAAATGGTTGCTATTTCAAGTTGCTTTTTTCTTTCACTCTACGCCATGTACATCTACCTACATAGTTGTGTGATTATATAGATATCCATGCTCACCTTCAATTACTTTTTTAGTAATTGTAGTAACTTTAAACTTCCAGACCTTGTTTGGTCCTATCTCTGCCACATATAGAGCATCCCCAGCATTGCTGATTGTGATGTCATGAGGCTTGTGAAACCCCTATAAACAATAACCATTATTCTGATCGTTAGTTTATATGTTTATATGTCTCTGATAAGTATTACAATTTTATGCAAGGCAAATTACCAAAATCTTTTACTGATTTAAAGCCACAAAAATTAAGTCCCTTCCCATTGTCATTTTGAAAATGTTCATCAAAAACTTACTTCATCTCTTGGAGTCCAAGTATTAATTAAACTGCCATCTTTTGGTTTGATGGTGAGTCCCTGTGGGTTTGTGGTCCCAAAATAGTTTGGACCATTAACTGCAAACAGAATACCACCTGCAAAATAGAGAATATATAAAAGTAGATGTTATGCTCTAGTTCTACACCTGCAAAAAGTTCATTTCAGTTCAAAAAGTAATTTTGGTAATATTCTAGACTTTCTACAATGTTACAAAAGCAAATGACTTAATAATATGAATTGCAGCTTCTTGTAGAAACCAAACTGAAACCTAGGTGGTTCCTCTATTTTGTTGCGTCACATCAAAGTACCTAGTTGGGGAACAGTGACTTGAGTGACAAATCAGAGATCAGCATTTTGTTATATTTAGCTTAATTTCACCCAGAATCGGAAGCCGTTCAACATATGCAATACAATCTAGAGTTCTCACCATTATGTGGACAGTACTCCAGTGCATACACCCTTCCACCAAACTCATCAGGGTGGATTTGTCTTGTGAAATTTCCATTTAAATCAAACACTTGTATCCGGCCATTTTCCCTATCAGCAACAAAAAGTTCCCCTGTCCCATCTGAGTTTTCCTTGACAGACAGACTGTGGGGAATACTGAAGTGGTAGGGGGGTGGAAAGCCATTCTCTGAAATATCAAAACAAGAATATAACACACGCAAAGATATCAATACAAATATAGATAAAATAGAATTAATCAATCTTGAATGTACATAACCAAGTAAGAAAGATAGCAGTGTTGAATTGTATTAAATAACATGTGGGTGTTTAAATATCAGAAAATATTTTGCTTTGAAACAATCTGTCCATTGCCTATTTATACACACAAAGTTGAAAAAGAGGGTGTAACATCCATCATGGAATAACACATGACAGTGTAGTGTTTGTACTACAGTATGCTACAACATCAAGATTATATATCACATAAAACACTTAAATAACACAATTATTTTTACCATACAAAATATATCAAACTTACAAATGACAACTCATGCATGACTTTCCAATGATAGACAAATACATGAATCTCTAATTGAATTGTAACTAGGGGGGGGGGGTATGCCATATGGGGAAATAGCCATCCAAAAAGGTGTGCACTTATAATGTAAACAATATCCTCTATACCACAACAGTGTATATTAACTGATTATAATGTGCACGTGTGTACTTAATATGAGGCTGTAACTAGGAAAATATATATACATGTTCACTGTCTCAAGGTTCACAAATGAGGCAGACTTCAGTTTAAAAGATATTATTTCTGACTTGCAACTTAAAATATATGAAAATGTTATCCCAAAACCACATTTGGTACTTTGGACAAAAATGAATGATTGATTAATTTAACAAGTGTTATCCCAAAACCACATTTGGTACTTTGGACAAAAATGAATGATTGATTAATTTAACAAGTGTTATCCCAAAACCACATTTGGTACTTTGGACAAAAATGAATTATTGATTAATTTAACAAGAACCATTTCCCAAGGTCCCTTTCTTACAAAAATATTATCCATTTGCATATGCATGTATTATAATTATGAGTGTTGTAACCATTGTGAAACTAGCAACAGTTCATTCGGTGTGGTCAGAGAATTTCATGTTGATCTATAAATCCTCCCATTTATGTTTTATCCTATAGCCCAGAAGTAACTTTCCATATTCAAGCTTGAAAGATATGTTATAGGAAAAACTAAATTCTGTTTCTGATTTCAAAATCAAGGCTATCTCTGATCACATAAATATTTGTAAAGAACACACATCAAATGCGAAACTGTTATTATCTTTAAGAAGAATATCATTGGCTGGTGTATGTCATGTGGAGGGCTAAGAGACGAGAGATGAAAGATTTTGCTCTTATAATTCCACACCATGCCTATTTTCTAATTGACTTATAGTTGTAACTTTATTCAGGATAATCCTTTCATTATCAGGCCAAAAAACAAAAGCAGACGCCTCCTTCTTGGTTCTAATGAATTTGAACATTTCTGCATTTCAACCTTCAATAAATTCTCTATCTAAATTTTTGGTGAAAAAGTAAGGAAAACATGAGTGGCACGTGTTTGCTATTTAAAAAGATGGCTACCAACTTTCAATAATTAGTCTAACATTTTTGTTTTCTAGACAGACAGTAGGGGCATGCAGGCATGGCAAGTAGTGATGATTCAAAAAATTTGAATAGGACACTAGTATGGCAAATTGACTCATTTATGATTTGGAGTTAAGGAAATTCTCTGACCACTACGAAATGAGGGAAGTAATTATTGGGAAGTGACAACAATAAACATAAAATTACCATCCACCACCGGTTGTCCCTCTACAACAGACAACAAGAATACATTAACCTAATAGCTCTACTATAATGTGTCTCAGTATTATTAACACATATGCCTTGAAGCAGAACTCAGTAAAATTTGGTGCATCTACATAATTGCACCAACGTAACCTTGTGAAGTGAAGGAATCTATTCAATGTTTCCGATGATATTTTAACAACTGTTTTTCTTATTCAATATCATCATTTAAAATGGTGTGTACATAGTCGCATTAAAATTGGAATAGAAATACAGGGTGTCTCTACAATTACAATACAAAGTCTATGTGAAGTAGAGACTTTATGGATACCCTGTAACAGGTACAGAGACTTTATGGATACCCTGTAACAGGTACAGAGACTTTATGGATACCCTGTACATATCTTATAGTCAATGCTGTTTTCTATTAAGTCCCATGAATGATTTATAAAATAGGGGAATATTTAAACAACCAGCCATAAGCTTAGAAAGGAAGTACCAAGCATCGATCAAAAACAATGATATGATCACAAAGAAACAGTGTCTAATTAAATGACTCATCTACAAAACATTCATTATGACAATCCAAAACCACAAGACTATGGGATATTTCATTCGTACTAAAGTCATTACAGTTCAATAAATATAATTTCAGGAAATGTGTTGTAATTATGGTTTCAATCTTTACCTTAAGCGAAGTGAAGATTTACCAATAGATTCAAATTCATAAACATTGGGACATTAATACTAGTAAATGAGAAAGTATTGAAACTGAAAAAAGTAAATTCTCATTACAATTTTCAAGCTAAATAAAAATAAATGGTGCTACTGTGCAACTTAAGTTCATAGACAAGTGGAATGAACTGGACTATGTGTTATCGTAAAAACATATGTAAATACATATTCTTATGAAAAGAAATTAATAAAATTCTGAAGGGATAACATCGTGGTAAGCCACACCCTCTCCATCTCTATCCTTCTGGATGCAACAGAGAGAGACGCTACGAGTATCGGAATGGCCTTTTAATGGATATTATTTTCTTCAGCCATAATAACAAGTTATACACATTTATTTTTTTAACAGCACATAGCCACTCTGACTAATAACCTGTTAATGGAATAGTGTTGTATAACTTACTGATAAGTTCGGGAGTAATTTCTCCCCATTCTTTGAGGACTTTTCCATCTGCTGCAAATTTTAGAACCCTGTGATGACAGTACCTGGAAAGATATTGTTTAATATATAAATGTACATAGGTGTTGTTTAAAAGATTTCTCCTCTGAACTTTCTGATCAAATCAGTACAAATCAACTTGTATTTTCCATTCAACATACCTTACATTACAATTACATTACACTGAAACACATTAATGAACAAAAAATTAATTCAGTAAAAGATACATAATTATTAACTTTTATAATTTTTAGTCTATGACACTACACATTTATTTGGATTTATACTTTTAAACCTCATGAATAGAGAGCATAGTTGTAATCAATGTGGGACTGATCTAGTCATCTGGTATACGGCAATAAACATTTTATCAAAATATATGCAATCATGGTGCCTTACCCGTCAGCAACATAAAATTCTCCAGAACTTAGCACAGCAACATCCGTTGGCTTGCAGAAGTGAAGTCCATTATGTGAATTAGGGTTGAATTTTTCACCCAATAAAATAGAGGGAATATCTGTCTTTCCAGCATCAAACTTCATCACCTAGGAGATCATAAATACATTTCTTGTATTTTTGGCCAATAACCATTGAGGGTTAAGACTTTTTCAGTTCAGAAAACTTGGATCCTGAACTTCCATATACAAGTACATTTTTTGATGTCTAAAATGTCGTTTTCATTTATTGACAACTCTAAAAAATTTATTCAAACCCAGATGCAGCCTTAAAATAATGAACTAGCAAGGACTAAACTGTAATTAATGGTGTATTTTATTACCTGATGCATGGCAACATCCGTCACCCAGACATTATCATCTTTATCTATTGTAATACCATGTGGCATGTAAAACCTGAAATAAACACCATTTGAAATTGTAATTTGGGGTCCACCAATCCAATTTATGTATGTTTTGAAGATTTTTAAATTTTCTAATTACACAGTTTTGAAATGAAATTAACTTGTCGCAACATTTTACTCAAATGGGCGAATTAAGGGGGAAATTGGCAAAATCAACATACGTGTCTTCTCCCCATTTCTTGATCAGTTTGCCTTCAGGGTTAAACACAAGGATGGCAGCCTCTTTGATAGGTCCTTCGCTGATCCTGGTGTATCTATTCTCTACATCAAATGCACTGAAATAAAGTAAGATTTCAGACAATTAAGAATCAGATGAATTGGTTTTTAACTATGGGATACATACCATTTTACTAGGACTATATGCAGGAAGCGTCAGAACCATATTTATAAATCGACTTATAACATTTTGTGCACTTTATTTCTGCCATTTAAATTATACAAAACACCATTACCCAAAACACAATTAACTAGTAATCATATTTTTGGTCCAATAAGAGGAAAGTGCAAAAAATGTGTTACTCTAATTGCTGAATTCATTTTACATATTGACACATACAGTATTATGTGGAAATTTTAAACAAGAAATCACAAATCTCATTAGAATTTTTCTCGGATCAACCTGGCACTAAAGGAATTTTAACAATTGGCAAAGTGAGAAAAGGGACAAGTTAAGCCTGTATGAAGATACTTACGTAGGATTCCAAACATGGTGACCTCTATGGAATACATAGACATTTGACTTGGAGTCAGTGGCCACAGCTGACACTTGGCCGAGGAATACATTATCTTGTTCTGTAAGAATTGGCCACTCATTCACAAGCTCAATATCTGAAAATGAAATCAGAATTTTACCAGTTAACATGAATGCAGAATCAAGATATTTTCAGAGACTATTTTACAAAATTGCTTCATTATATTTAAACATATTTTTGTTGCATTGAATTATATCAATTTTTGTGATACTCAAACATAATTCTTTCTTTTAAACTAAGTATTTCAATTATTAAACCAAATCTACATTCAGTCTACACTGTTATATGGTCAATATAAATGTTCTCGGAGTATCAACGACAGACTTCAACTCTATGTGATGCACTAATGCATGTATTAACTATATTTCAGGCAACTAAAAACATCAAAAATAAACCCAATGGGGCATTTACTGTAATACTTTATAATAAACGGACAGTGAGCTAACATTCACCAGGGTATGATTTAATATATAATGGTTATGTACCCAATAATAAAAGAAAAAGGAAAGTGGTAAAAACTATTCTAAACACATCCATGCAACCTTTAACATACAGTGTTCAATCAACTTTATTATGTGAGGGATGGTAATGGAAATGGTTTCTAAGGCGTCACATACAATATGTTTCGGATTAATAATAAAAAGGTCTAAAGCCTCAATTCATGGTATGATTTAGTGGATAAAATTAATATCAAACTGATATAACCTATGTCATTTATGATATGAATATAATCAGTTCAAGCCCAAACATGCAAGTGATAACATAAATGAATAGACAGACACAGAATAGTTGAACAAAAACAAAATGACCAAACAAAAACACACTGGGGAGAAAATACACATGCAAATGAAAAAATAACATGAAATTTAGCTCTAATGACAATAAACAGGAAGTAACTAATATGAACACAAAACATTACTATGGACACAAACATAGGATTAGATTTATCACCATGGTGACAATGAGACAACACCAAGATTCGAATTAAGTCTTACTTTCCACTTGAGCTTCAGGAGAGACATGTTTAGTATGAGATGAATCAGATATATGACCATCTCCGTCATTAGGAAGAGAAACACCACCAGGATGAAAGTCAGAATTAGTGCCTTCACCATCATTTAAATTAGTACTAACAGCTTGGTTAGAATTAGTGCCAGGTCCAGTATTAGATCCACTAAGAGAATCATGCTGAGAAAAAGAAGACCCAGTGCCACGTTGGTTAGACAAATCTTGAGGTAGAATATTAGACTGTTGTCTTGTGTTAGAATTGTCAAAAGCTGAATGGATGTATTTAGGACGTTGTAAAAATGTCCTTTGGTCAGCTGGATTTTGATTATAATTGTTGTTGAAGGTGTTAAGTTTTCCCCTGCCCCTGTAAGATGGCTGTTGGCTTCCCCTATTTTCCTGGTTGTTCCTCTGGTTATTCCCCTGGCCACTATTCCAGCCCCAATCTTTCTTGTTGCCCTCATCATAATCATTATATGGATGACGATTTCTGAAACGTTGATTCGCCACACTACTGTCATAGTAATCATCATTGTTGTTGTTGCTATAATCGTCATAGTAGCGACTTTGATAGCGCTTCGAACGTGGAACAATCTCATCTATGAAATTACCATTATAATCATAATCATCCAAACTACCACCACCAACACTTTCCCCATGTATAGCCCTACCTAAGTTTGTCACTGTTTTGGTAGGTTTAGGTATAGCATCTACTTCATTGTCCTTCTCTCCTGCCATTCCTCCATGGTGATGATGTCCAGTTGCCTGTTCATCTAGCAGAGGGTTGGGTGGCAGAGGGGTGTCATTACCATCTGGGATCTGTTTCACTAGATCTGGGAGATTATTGCCAAAACACTCAAAGAAAGCAGACCCTTTCTCAGCATCAGTGTAATACATCATGTAAAAGTTACACATCTCATCATTGTGAGTTGCACTGGAATCACAGATTAAATAATGTTCACTATATTTTCATGCACTACTGCACTGGAGTAACAAATGTATTTTGAACCATACATTTATCATGTCATACTGTATGTAAATATGGGTACACTGCACTGGAGTAACAAATGTATTTTGAACCATACATTTATCATGTCATACTGTATGTAAATATGGGTACACTGCACTGGAGTAACAAATGTATTTTGAACCATACATTTATCATGTCATACTGTATGTAAATATGGGTACACTGTACTGGAGTAACAAAATATTTATCAAGATACACATTTCTACATATTTCTAGAAATAGACTGGAAATAGAAATTGTACTGGAGTAACAAAATATTTATCAAGATATACATTTATATATATTTCTAGATCTCAACACAAGTATTAAAGGCTAAAGGAATATACTGAGAATACTAACCCCACATTTGTAGCTCTGCTTCTCCCTGTAGAGTTAAATGTACATCTCCCTACGACATCATCTCCAGGATGTATGGTCTTCACCCCATCCATGGGATAGAAGGCCTGTAAAATAGCAGTACTAGTTTGTGTAGTGTTTATTTCATCTACCTTATATAGCCATCAATACAGCCTGATTTTAATATTAACCAACAAAATTGATTCAAAAATGGCAGAATTTCATGCCTTCTTTTCAAAATGTCAGACAGTCTAAAAGACTAATCAGTAAATTCTAAAGGTTACTTGGCTAATATATTTGGACATCTTTACCTTTAGATATGTCCGTTCTTTTTTGACGACTTTTGAAAAGAACGCTCCCAAGATTTTACATTTTACCTTCCATTCCCTTTAACGACTACAACACCAAATTATATGATGTCTTCCTAACTTTACTAACCAAACAAATGAACAGAATTTTCAGTATATCATTTCATCAGTTATTACCTGGGGCCACTGAGGGTTTCCTTTACCCAGCATATCCCACTCTCTTGTTTTTGGGTCAATTTTGTATCCAGAGATGACGCGACCTGAAATACATAAATTTTTTATGTGAGGCCTAACTTTAAGAGCCTGAGCCAAATGTTTCTACTTTCCCAAGATTTAATCATTAGGCCTAAAGGTATAGATATTCTACTTTGATCTTTGATCATGAAGCATAAAAACAAATGATTCTGGGGCAAAAACAAAATGGTTCTACTCACCCAATGTATGTGCATGGGGCCTAAAAGCAAATGGATGTATATCCTGCGTGCCTTTGAATCTGCAGGACATATCAACATGGTAAACTGAAATAAAAAAGATGTGTTATACAGAATAACATTCAAGATCCATTATTATCGTTAAGCTGATTATCTAAAATGTTTCATGTCCATTTATACTTTTCTAAAATAGGTAAAAATGTAGTTAAATTATTTTCATGAAAACAAACTTTGATGAAATAAAGAAATATCTCACCTGGGGTGTTTCCAGGAACAGAGAACATATACGCCAATAATAAATAAATTCCAGCAAGGTATTTCTGCCTGAAATAAAGCAAAATTAAATAGTACTAATTTTGATACTTTTTGTAGACAGCTGAAACTTAAACTTATACAAAATAATGTAAATGCATTCTTGTAACACACATTTTTACAGTACTCAAAATAAAATTAACAAGGTACAGGGTGAACAATATTGTACCTAAAACATAGCAGTGTGGGCTTGATGACCCAGAAACATGTGTAAAAATTTGAAGTAAATCCGTTAAGTGGTTTTCCTGGAATCGCGATTACGAAATGTATCTAAAAAGTTCCAAAATGGCTGCCAGAATGCAAAATGGCTGCCGAAAAATTAATCAGTTCAAGAACTTCTTACCATATAACATGTGTGAAACTTTGAAATAAATCCTTTTCATAGTTTCCTGGAATTGTGATGACAGGATCTAAAAACTTCCAATTTGGCCGCCAGAATGCAAGATGGCTGCCAAGAAAATAAGCAGCTCTAGAACTTCTTACCATGTAACATGTGTGAAAATTTGAAGTAAATCTGTCAAATGGTTTTCCCGGAATCTTGATTACAAGAAAGTGAGACGCCGCCTTAGCCGCCAATCCACCACGCGCCCGTCAAGCTGATGACAGAATTGTACCTTTTTTAGGTACGATAAAAATCCTAATTGCACTATCAACCCAGAACCAACTCATTTTCCAGTTATTCAACAAACAAAAAAAAGATGTCAAAAAATTATTTTACAATTATGTAATAATATGTTGTTATGGTTGCCTCATCTCACGACTGAGTTAATAATTAGTGCCCACAATCTGGATTATAGATTACAAAACATTGAATTTGATTTGGTTAAGAACCTTATAAAACAGCACACAATATTAGCATTAAACAATACATTGCTTTATGCTACATATACTTCACATACCTCTGAGGAGTGACAGAGAGAGTGAATCCTGAGCGATCACCAGCCCGTCCTTCTGTAATATACCAAATATGGTAAATTAGTGTTTAGTTCTATTCATTAAACTGCTAAAATACTAGAATTGAGAGCTTGAAATAGTATTTTACAATTTAAGAGATTTTTTACATAATTCTATTTTACTGCAATATATAACATACTTGAAGTGAATTATTACATGCAATACACCACCCTCTTAACATGCAGCATGTTCTACTATTGTCCTGTATTAAGACTTTCACTTCCAAGCTACAGTAAAACCTGTCTAAATGGAACACCGTTGGTACCTCTAAAGTGTTCCACTTGGGAGGTGTTCTACATATAGGTTCATTTAACACAAGTCAGTTTGTTTGGGACTCTGAAAAGTGTTCAACTAGCAAAGATTTTCCACTTCTAGAGGTGTTCCACTTAACAGGATTCACTGTACTTCCATTCCTTCTGATTCGTCAAAAACTGCACCTTTATGGGGCAGTGCCAACATAAAACGCTTGTACAATATGTTTCCTATTTTGAACACTTCAGATACAGTAAAACCTGTGTATTTAATGATACTAAGGATAACTGTTAAACATGTATTGGGCTTACTATTTACAGGTTTTACTGTACTTTAATGGATGTAATATATATGTTGATTGATATGTTGATTCGAAAATAAATCAGAAGTGAGAATGTTAATACAAGACTATTTAACATTACACTAAGTGCTATGGTAAACTTTGGGGTGTGCATCTTGTCTCCATAAACTGTACCTCAAAGTTAAACCTTGAAATAAACAAAGATACATAGATCTGATGCACATTGCAATTTTTACCATAGCTCTTCAAACTATTGGTTTAAACTACTTAAGAAGAAGGTTATAGTCTTCTGTTGTAGTATAATGAGGGAAGCAAAGACTTCTAAATCCAGGGTGTGTTATTAAGACCAGGTGTGAAATATTGATTACAAATGAACAAGTTGTTATCCATAAAGTCTCTGCACACTCGACACAGACTTTGAATTGTAATTTGAAATTCATCAGCTTGTCTACAATTTCGTACAATTTATAAAAGGATTTGCAAATTTATTTGAACATTTACGTACCACACCCAGGTTAAATCTTTGACAAAACACAACACCAAAATACGTATCACTTTCAACTTAAATTACAAATTCAATCAAAAGGTTGGGTGCTGCAGTATTAAGAGATCAACAACAAGAACAAGACAGGAGTTATAGGTGGGTCTTGTACTCTTGATTACATGAACTGAAGGTCACTTCCTTCAACTCTAGTAATTTAAAGGTCTCTCTGTGTTTTGTGCAAATTAAAGAACTGAGAAAATGTTAGACTATACTATAAAATAATAATAATTATTTTTAATAAAGGCATTTCACTAGACTACATATAATACCTGCAGAGGAATCTTTATTGCCTAAAAATAAAATCATATTTAACTCTGCTCGAGTCCACATGCACTGTTATATTACAGCCATATCCCTATAAGGTATGTGTAGTTTAGCCAGAAATCAATTCCATACAAGGTTATATTCAATAAATTAAGATATATTTTGTCTAGAGTCCATTTCTTGATAATTCAAACAACTACAAAATATTATAAAAGTAAGAAGTAATTTGAAATCAAGGAATCTATCGAATTCTATTATATTATATGTAAATGTATTTTGTAACTTATATATATTTTGAATAAATAATTCTATAAAAAAGGAATCTATTGAAAATGGCATCAAGGTTAGATTTCCCTCTGATTATCTCTGTTGTAAAAGTAAGCTTCCTCTTCTTTCTTTTAACTTCAATATCTACCATGAAAGATTTCTATTTCCATTACCTTTGAACTTGGAAGCATAGTGAACTTGCAGGACAAGATGCTTCACTCCACTAGAGCCTCCAATTCTAAAACCCACATCTGAAACAGAGATTACAAAAATGAAATGTAATGCCATATAGTAATTTATACCGAGGATTCAAAAATTAGATAACAGCAACACCAAGGTGTAGCAAATCCAATCAAATACCTAATGAATGTCAGATAAAACTGCTACAGTTCATGTCTCATATGTTCTCAAATGTTCTTCACTGATGTATTGTCGTAAGGTAGAAGGCCTGTCAATTGTGACCAAAATTTGACATTATGCACAAATATGGGTGCCTCCTTAACAGAGTCATTGGCCATTTATCATTTGTCTAATTCATGGTATACCTTTTGGGAGTTCCTTTGGAGCGGCATTTCTAGCCCATGCAAACATGATCTTGGATTCTCCTTTACATGTGTTCCCGCATTCCCTGAAAAAGCAGGTGTTCACTAATTGAAGTACATGTACCTACAACCTACAGGTTATGTATTGTCTAAAAAAAAGTTTGCCATCACCATAACCAGGTGCGTCTTAAATAATGAACATTTTATATATTCATTGAGTACTGGTTTATATGATTTCTAGTAGTGGTTTGTGTTCTTGATTTTCACATTTACTCCATTTGTGCTTTTTACTGTTTCTATTTAAATGTACCATCTTAGAGCAGAAGACAAATTGCTATTTGATTTTTTCAAAATTGTATTTTTATATATTTTATATATCTTACCAGTGTTCTTGACTTGAGGCTGGGGCATCACATCCAAATAGCAACATGTGATGTGCAATATCCCCAGTAGCCTGAGCCTCAAACTTAACTGAAATAAACAAGAACAGATATGAGGCAGGCAAGTTTAAGTCTCAACAGAAGGAACACACTTTGAAGTACATATACATATACTTCTTGTACACCCCCAAAATGCAATCTGATTTTCGACGCCATTTCGGTGCCGTCTCGGCACCAAATGGACTGACTAGTCCGGTGCCAAATTTTGGTGTCGAAAGGTTTCGGTGTCCGAATGGTGCCGAAACTGTGCCGGAACAGCACCAAATTTTTTCGAATTCTGAATCGGCGCCGAATTATATTGGTTGTGTACATATACTTCATATACATATAATTCATGTACATATACTTCATGCACATATACTTCATGTACATATACTTCATAATTTAGCTATTATTAAGAAAATGGTATGGAATAATCTCCTTGATTCTTCATTTTTTGATTAGTGATAAGACTCTGAGTATTCCTTTCTTTTAATTTTATCTAAGTAAGGTAAGTAACTTTGAATATCTACCTACCTACATATTCTTCATCAGTGTATGGTACTGGAATACTGGTACATACATAATAATCATCCTGGAAAACAAAGAATAAATTTGGCATAAAAGAGAGCACCTGTGATCCTCAACAGTGTGCACCGTTGAAATTCAAAATGACCTCCCTGCAAATTACCAAGCATGCCCAAAACCTCAAATCTTGGCACCTGTCGCTGTAAAAATTTCAATGTTATGCACTACTTAATGTGGAGTTAATATGGTAATCAACTACACACTCTCCTTACCATTGGTGGGACTATTCCTGGCATTAGGATGTCTAACTTTTTAATATTTTTATCATTTTCTGTTGCATCTACTCCATTGTCCTTCTCTCCTGCCATTCCTCCATGGTGATGATGTCCAGTTGCCTGTTCATCTAACAAAGGGTTGGGTGGCAAAGGGGTGTCATTACCATCTGGGATTTTCTTTACCAAATCTGGGAGATTGTTCTCCCCACAAGAATAGAAAGCAGATCCTTTCTCAGCATCAGTGTAATACATCATGTAAAAGTTACACATCTCATCATTGTGAGTTGCACTGGAATTACAGATTAAAATGATTATGCACAAGTATTCCATACCTACTGAAGTTCTAGGTTGTTATTGTGTGAGTTATGGTTATGGTGAAGTTTGCATTGAATCCCTTCTCAATGTAATATAGATCTCAGAAGCAGTGATATAAAATGATGCAATAGTTCATACACTGAATTTTTAAAGCTTTGCACACATAGCTATAAACAATGGGGAAGTTTTCTCTGAGGCTTACCCAACAAATGTTGGTCTGTCTCTCCCTGTAGAGTTAAATGTACATCTCCCTACCACCTCATCTCCAGGATGAATAGTCTTCACATCATCCATTGGATAGAAGGCCTGTAAAATATATACAGTATATATTTTATATGTATACGGTTATCTCCCTTATGCATTATATATGAAGTGATTTGAACTGCTTACAAGTTATCAATGTGACACAATAATGTGATAATTGGTTGTTATTATCAGAATTACCTAAGAAGTCTAAAATTGCTCATTTTGTATTTACCTGTGGCCACTGGGGGTTACCTTTACCCAGCATCTCCCACTCTCCTGTAGCTGGTTCTACCTTGTATCCTGTGATTACTTGACCTGGAAAGTTTATTACAACTTCAATTACGATATTCAATTGGAAGAATTAAGGAACAGCCTTAAGTTTTCTTAATTCATGATGGGACCATCATTTCCCAAATCACCTAACTGAATATTTATGTGTCACATTACTGAATATTTATGTGTCACATTACTGAATATTTATGTGTCACATTACTGAATATTTATGTGTCACATTAAAAAGGTAAAAATAGGAAATAAATGTATATAATTCAACCCTTTATGAGGAATATTCTGATTTATCCATACGATCGTATGACAGTAGAAACTTTTGCACAAATGTTAGTGTTAGTCTAAGGTAGGTGCATGAGCCTTAAAGCAATATTTACTCACCCAAAGTATGTGCATGAGGTCTAAAGGCAAATGGATGAATGTCTTGGGAACCATCAAACTTGCAGGAAATATCAACATGGTGTACTGAAATGAATCAAATAAAGCCAAGTAGTTAAAGTGGATATAAGAGATACTGTTAACAGAAATAATTTGTCTGATGAGGTCATATCAAATTGTATCGTTTTTTGCTTATGCAATCATGGAATGGACAAATGTCATAAATTCAAACAATCCTACAAGGCATTAAATAGCAAAATGTCATCACCTGTCATTTGATACAGACACTGAACACCAACTGCCAAACATCGGAAGCCAAACACCATCCACACAAAAGTTGGAGACACCACATAAAAAAATTGTCATAAAAAACAATCTTTCTCTTTTTTAAAAAATAGAAAATTTTTTATATAGAAAATCATTCAATAATTAACTTACCAGGTGTGTTGCCAGGCACTGAGAATGAACCTGACCACAGTACAAATATTCCAGCAATGTACTTTTGTCTGTAAAAAAACAGGAAGTACTTTGATATTATACAAGAAAAATTATAAATTGTTAATGTTATTTATTTGGTATAATGCACTCGCTAGCTTTAAAGTAGGTTTGATCACGGTGAAATGTTATTTCTGGTTTGGTTTCAATTTTTGCCTACATGTATTTTTAACAAGTTGAACTGAAGGATAATAGAGATAGATCATTCTTTTATTTTAAGTCTAAACTGAGCTGTACCCTCGTGCACACTACAGGGTATCCCAAAAGTAACTGGACATTTAGATATGTGTATTATGGAAAGATTCAGACATTATGGGTGCAGAATTAATAATTGCCAACATTAGTCCTGGTGTTTTTAGGACATCCATGTGTTATGTGACTGATCAGTAGCTCTATATGTACACTGTACATACCTCTGAGGAGTGACTGAAAGAGTGAGTCCTGAATGATCACCTGCCTGGCCATCTGAAATATATAAATAAATAAGGAGCTATGAAGTGCAGATTCAGTCAGGTTGTTTTTATTATTTGGAAAAAATAATGAGTAATACATGTAATACAATCAAACTGCAATCAAAAATAAATTGCAAATATTAAATAATTAATAATTTTTATGTTGTTTTTTCCACCTGATACTATGTATGTTACTAACCAAAACAAGGTTAATTCTTACTTTATATATTTGTCAAATCAAAAATACTAAAAAATCATGGAATTCAGACCTTGATGCAGTACAAGTACAATATTAAAGTATAGTAAACATTACATGAAGACATTCTTTTATTTTATCTATTCCTTTGTTCGTTACCTTTGAACTTAGCAGCATAATGAACCTGAAGAACAAGATGTTTTACGCCATTGGGCCCTCCAATCTTGAAACCCACATCTGAAACAGAACAATGAAATTAAATTTAATACTGCTTTACTCTGGCTAGGATACGTTGCAGTTTTGTTAGCAGAATGTTACCGAACATAATACAAAAGGCTTTGAAAATGGTCTTTAAGAGCAACCAATCAGGCAAGCATTTAATAAGGTTATTCTCGAAATGAAATTAAACTACTGTAAATAGTCATTTAGTCATTTCAGAATCATTATCGATACTTACTGATGTTATATTTGCAATAGCTTACAAATAATCAACCAACAAAATTGTGAATTTGCGTTTCACTTATCGTTGACCAAGGTTCATAATTTCGTACCTTTAGGAAGTTCTTTAGGTTCAGCATTTTTGGCCCATGCGAACATAATATTAGATCCCCCTTTGCATGTCTGCCCACACTCCCTGGAAAATATATGAATGATATTATTAAGTAACCAAGTTTAGTGAAGCACACATATTTATCTCCTATACATGTATGGTATATACTGTAGATACACTTTATTTGACTACCGCTTTAATTTGAAGGATGGCGGATTGTAAAATCCAATATATGAAATTGAGCAAATCCGGCAAATTAAGTAGCCCCAAATAAGTTTCAAATTAATGGTTTCTATTACAAAAAAAAACATCCAATTGAACCAATATAAAGTGTAAATAAATTATTGGTGATCTCCCTAGCACTGAAAAAACTAATTGCCATGCAGATTGGCACCAAGTGGAGAACTTATCCCCAGCTGGCATACAAAAGCATGAGTATGAGTACAAAATATAGGAATGAATTGAGAATACAAGCTGAGAGCATTAAAGTTGCACTTTCGCCTGGTATTATATTATCCCCACCTTGGGAGGCCTGTAGCTATAGTCAGGCTATTAGTAAAGAGTATGCTTATATTCTACTATATTGACTTGGGCAATAGTGGCAGGCTTTTGTGGCGGGTCATAGTGGGCTACAATTTCACCATGTTGCGCTTTGGAATGAGGTTATTGCTATGTTGCCTCAGTCAGATAATACTCAACAGAATATACTATAAGTTATTCAATGATTCGAGTGAAATACAGAAAATATTCTTCCCGAGAAGGTTGTATTTCACGATACGCTAGCATCAGATAAAACTCGCCTAAATCAAGTCCCTTGGCTTGGGGCAGATCAACCTTCTCACCTCAGAGATATTTTACATCAATATTCCTTCAAAATCTTTATGGCCTTGTTTGCTTTTTATTGTATTATACGAGACGTTTGATATTCTTTCTTTTTTCTTCAATTTCATCAGCTGGAAGTGCAGTGTAGCGAAACGTTTTTTCGACTTTCGTCTGCCATATTGGATTTTAAATTTTTTAATAGTTCATGAAAACAATGTGCATGCTTCATATTGATCTTTTTATATTCACAGATGTGTGTTTTTTATCCTAATATTATTATAAATTGTGATGATCACCGTATCATTTCCTGATATTTAAATCAGATATTTCTAGCAAAATGCAAATATTAGCATGCGTTGGTGTAAACTGATCACCATTGATTTTTTTCAGTAATAGTCATATCCTGGATGGAAATCTTGGGCGTTGGGATACTAGACCTTATTCCATGATGGTGAAATTCCCTGCAATCTGATTGGTCCATGTGACTTAAATATATCCTGTATTTACACGCACTTTCCACTTAGCATTGAATACAGAGTGAAAATGACGTCAGCGTTAGCTATATAGACAGTGATATAATAAAACAAATATTTCACTCTATTTTCGGTGAATACCTGTAGCACTTTCACAAGGTGATATTCCACTTGCCCTTCGGGTTCGTGGAATATCACTTGTGAAAGATGTACAGGTATTCACCTCAATAGAGTGAAATATTTGTTCAGTATCCCAACGCTGACGTCTTTTTCACTCTGTATCCAACGCTTAGTAGAATGTGCGTGTAAATACAGAATATATTTAAGTCACGTGCACCAATCAGATTGCAGGGAATTTCACCATCATGGAATAAAGTAATATATTATAATCTTACCAGTGTTCTTCATCGGAAGCTGGACCATCTACACATCCAAACAACAACATATGGTGCGCGATATCACCAGTGGCCTGAGCTTCAAACTTCACTGAAAATAAAACAACAACATATGATGCGCAATATCACCAGTGGCCTGAGCCTCAAACAACAGCATTTGAACACATTTTGATATAAATCTTTTTTTCAATTCTTGGACATCTTTGCTTAAAGGATGTATCAACTATTTAAGTGTTTTCCTTACATATTTGAAGTGGATACTTATTTTTCATTCCATGTAAAGAAAACAGAAATCAATAACATATTGATGGAGTGGGAGCTGTTACAATGACCCCTACTTTTAGCAGTTTTCATTAATGTTTCGCCCAGTAAAATTAATAAGGGAACGATTAAATCAATTACAATAACATTTAAACCATTTTTGGGCTCATTTCTTGAAAGCATTAAACGCTATTACATTGTATTGTATTATCATGTATTTGTATTGGTATGAGGAATCGATTGCAATATGATAGAACACTTATTATACCCAAGGTAGAGTTAATTTTGTATAAATGTGAAATAACTTGGGGAATCCAGTTTGGGGGTTTCTCCAAAGCTATCGTTGTTAGGGAAATGACGTCACATTACATTGGAATACCACAAGAGCGGGCTACAAGTATGACATCATCAATATGCGTTGGATGGTATGGAAACATGCACCATGCCATTCACATTCGTTATTATAAGAGCACTTTCACATTTGATTAGAAAGCGAGAGTGTATTTATTGCATTTAATTGATGAAAAAAAATCTAATCAATGATATTCTTAAAAAAATCAATTGTTTTCTTAGCCCTTGATAGTTATATACATCCTTTAATCGTATATATCTTCAATTGCATAGTTGATCAGATACCTCGATTAGTTTTTCAGATAATAAACTTGGGATACACCCTATGCAGACAGAGCCTGTGGGAAATATTGGGTGCGGCGCAAATGAGCGGATGGTGCGGAGCTAACGGTCATTTTTGAATTTAAAATTGGGATATTTCTGAAACTAAGCCGTTTTGGGACTTCAAATATACCAAGATATGTGTATTTGACACCAAATATCAATAAAATTGTGAAAATAGTAGTGCAATTCATTTTATAGCGACGCAGTATGCCTTAAACATTTCCCAGACCTATATATTTTGAGACTATCCTTTTAATACTGCGTCCCCAGCATTCATAAACAAGGCATTAACATGACAAAATGTCACCACCTAAAACAATTTGGTCAATTTAAAGCAAGTTGGAAAATACCTTTTGACCTTGAGAAGGTCAAATCTAAAGTCAGATTTGAACTTCTGAGAACTTGTAAAGTCAAATTTGAACTTCTGAAAAGATGTAGATGATTTTGAAAAAAAAAATTTGGTCAATTTGAAGCAAGTTGAAAACAGACCTTTTTGACCTTTTTTGACCTTGAGAAGGTCATTAAAGGTCAAATGTCAAATCTAAAGTCAGATTTGAAGGTCAAATGTCAAATCTAAAGTCAAATCTAAAGTCAGATTTGAATTTCTGAGAACATGTAGATGATTTTGAAAAAAAAATTTAGTCAATTTGAAGCAAGATGAAAAAATACCTTTTTGACCTTTTTTTACATTGAGAAGGTCATTGAAGGTCAAATGTCAAATCTAAAGTCAGATTTGAATTTCTGAGAACATGTAGATGATTTTGAAAAAAAAATTTAGTCAATTTGAAGCAAGTTGAAAAAAGACCTTTTTGACCTTTTTTGACCTTGAGAAGGTCATTGAAGGTCAAATGTCAAATCTAAAGTCATATTTGAATTTCTGAGAACATGTAGATGATTTTGAAAAAAAAATTTAGTCAATTTGAAGCAAGATGAAAAAATACCTTTTTGACCTTTTTTTACATTGAGAAGGTCATTGGAGGTCAAATGTCAAATCTAAAGTCAGATTTGAATTTCTGAGAACATGTAGATGATTTTGAAAAAAAAATTTAGTCAATTTGAAGCAAGTTGAAAAAAGACCTTTTTGACCTTTTTTGACTTTGAGAAGGTCATTGAAGGTCAAATGTCAAATCTAAAGTCAGATTTGAATTTCTGAGAACATGTAGATGATTTTGAAAAAAAAATTTAGTCAATTTGAAGCAAGTTGAAAAAAGACCTTTTTGACCTTTTTTGACTTTGAGAAGGTCATTGAAGGTCAAATGTCAAATCTTAAGTCAAATCTAAAGTCAGATTTAAATTTCTGAGAACACGTAGATGATTTTGAAAATTTTTTTTAGTCAATTTGAAGCAAGTTGAAAACAGACCTTTTTGACCTTTTTTGACCTTGAGAAGGTCAAATGTCAAATCTTAAGTCAGATTTGAATTTCTGAGAACACGTAGATGATTTTGAAAAAAAAATTTAGTCAATTTGAAGCAAGTTGAAAACAGACCTTTTTGACCTTTTTTGACCTTGAGAAGGTCATTGAAGGTCAAATGTCAAATCTAAAGTCAGATTTGAAGGTCAAATGTCAAATCTAAAGTCAAATCTAAAGTCAGATTTGAATTTCTGAGAACACATAGATGATTTTGAAAAAAAATTTTAGTCAATTTGAAGCAAGTTGAAAACAGACCTTTTTGACCTTTTTTGACCTTGAGAAGGTCAAATGTCAAATCTTAAGTCAGATTTGAATTTCTGAGAACACGTAGATGATTTTGAAAAAAAAATGTAGTCAATTTGAAGCAAGTTGAAAACAGACCTTTTTGACCTTTTTTGACCTTGAGAAGGTCATTGAAGGTCAAATGTCAAATCTAAAGTCAGATTTGAAGGTCAAATGTCAAATCTAAAGTCAAATCTAAAGTCAGATTTGAATTTCTGAGAACATGTAGATGATTTTGAAAAAGAATTTAGTCAATGTGAAGCAAGTTGAAAAAAGACCTTTTTGACCTTGAGAAGGTCATTGAAGGTCAAATGTCAAATCTAAAGTCAGATTTGAACTTCTGAGAACATGTAGTTGATTTAGAAAAAAATTGAAGTCAGTCTAAACAGTATTTGTTAAGTTATAGGAAGTTGTAAGAAATTGTTACAGACGCCGGACGCCAACCTCCAACCACCAACCTCCAACCACCAACCGCCAACCACCAACCGCCGTCGCAAAAAACGGAGACCATAACAATATGTCACCACTTTTGGTGGTGACATAAAAATTGTGTTCAAGATACACTACCCATGCAAATTATTTTTGCATCTTGGAAGCCAGGCAGTATCTGTGTGATTTTATAAAAATTCGGAAATGTTCTTCAGATATGAGCCCCTACGTTTTATTTAACGCCGTCCTTACATTAGATGGACCCCAAAAAATAATGTTGGACGGAAAAATAAAAAACTCCAGAGTCCCTTGGACGCACTTTATTTTTACAGCAATTTCCAAAAATCTTACCTCTTAGAACACTCAATCAGTAGTACAAATGAAAGAATATAAATTGGCCTACCTTGTGAAGACAAAATCTAAGTATAATAGGCAGATAATCAGCAGTGTTTCAGAGAAACACTGAGATAATTATCTTACTGTAATTCGGCCACCATTTTGATTGACCTCTAAAACCAAAACATCATTGCTTTGAGATTAATGGGTCAGTAGCAAAAAACCTTTATCCACTGGCATGTAGCGGCCCTGATATCGATAAATTCTACACGCAATATAACCCGATTTTAGATGCTTGGTTAAAACTTTACACGAAAAAGCCTCGATATCCGGGCATTTACTCTTACACTGAACTGAAAATAGCATCGTCTAAACGTGTATGTCTTGGCTTCCGGGTAAGTTTATCAACATTTATACTCAATTGAAAGAGCAGTCGTACTTCTATCGTGTACCAGTTTGATTGTTTTATATGTGTGTGTATTTATAATATGATAGTCTAGTAATACCGTGTCGTTAGAACAAGTGCTAGATATCGAACTGATGACCTGAAATTAGATTATTGGACTGATCGCGCATCTGATATTAGATGATTAATTTGCATTGAATCTGATATTAACTTGCAACCCAATACTACAGTAAATACCATGACTTTACATTAGAATGATAACACGGCCTCATATTCTAATTCATTATACGTCCATTGCAGGCCAAAAATGTTTCAATGGGGATATTGTAATGCACACGAGAATACATTCGATTCGTATATATTGACACCCCAGTTGTCCGAAACCCAGTTGTCCGAAACCCAGTTGTCCGAAACCCAATTCCCCGAAACCCAGTTGTCCGAAACCCATTACTCCGAAAAATAAAGTCATAATTTACCAGAGAAAGGGGGGGGGGCGTAGCTTACTTAAGCTTACGTCAGTTTCATGCCATGTATTTGGCCAAATTAATGGCATGGACGCATTCTGATATTCATAGATCTCTCTCTCTCACTTTGAATTGCATCCATTGTATGGCGTTACCAGAATGGCAGGAACGGGAGATTTATTTTACATTGTGATTCTAAAAAAGGTTATTAAAACACAATATATATTACGGAACAGTTTATCTTATCTTCTTCAATCTCTTTTATATAGGCAAAATAAAATGAAACATTTTGAAACAGATAAAATAAGGTATCGCATAGAACTTTAAGAATAAAACAGTATACAAATTAGGTTGTCAAAATATTTCATCGCATTTAATTTCTTAGTCTCAGTCTCTTATCAAATCGTAAAAGAATAAAACATTCTAAACTTAATCACTTGGGATTTATGTTTCGGCATTCGTTTCAGGCATTTGTTTTTTATGTTCTTCTCCTGAAATGTATTTGTTTGACAATAATCAGAGAAAGTGCGTATACGTATAAATATGCCACGCAAACAAACGGGTGTGACTTCAATTTCTTGTCTGTCTGAGGACGTATTGGGAACGAGGTTAAAGAATTCTTATGAACAAATGTATTGGCTAAGTTAATTTCTGATGGATCTGGATAAAATATATTTCAAAACTTTGTCAACACTAGATAACTTCATTTAGGCAGATATAGTATCTTGATATATTTGGCTATCATGCGTTTAAAATACGTTCCTAAAACTATGAAGACGTTGGGTGAGAAATATTGCTATTGTACGTTCGAAAAGTATTTGGTTGTATTTTGTAGTTCTCAAGTTACCCATGAACTTTCTTGGGCTAATTAACGTCTTGACTCAGCATATTTAGCCTAATTTTGCAATGATGTCAACGTGATTCAAACGTGATTCGATAGTTTAAAAGTGATATTCGATGGTTTGTAAATTGTTTGATAAAATATGATATCTTGATCCACATATCAAATATATCATCATGTGATATTCGATCTATATCCTCCTTGCAACCATTGGATAAAGCTTTACGTCCCGCTCCAAGCGGGCAGATGTAGTATATCTGCCCGCTACGTCATAATCGCCGCTTGCATATTTGTTCATAATTTGTAACGTTCGCGGAATGACTGTAAACGGCAATGGAGAAAACACAGACAATCAGGGTCTGTTTGATAATTAAAAAAAGGGAAAGGGCATCCACTTTATCAATAAAAAATTCGAGAAAATGAATATGGGATTATTTGAGAGAACATGAAAATCCGCCCACGGCCAAGAAAACAAAACTGGACATGAATATTCTAAAATATTTCCACGATTTAACAATGTGAACCAGATGACCAAGATTGGTATGGGATAAACATATTATCCTATAGTCAGGATATTGGGATTATCCCTTGGCCAATATATAGGGGTTATGCAATTGGAGGTTTTGGATACAGGGAATATCCCGAGGGATATACAATACATCTTCCCGAGGGACCGAAGGGACCAAGGGAAGACATATTATATATCCCTCGGGATATTCCCTGTATCCAAAACCTCCAAGTGCATAACTGTTGTATATAGTTTAGCATGATATGTACTTCTTTCTGTAACTGGAATACGATTCTAATATACAAGCAGCATATATACGTATTCCCGGGGAACCATAAATATTTTGTGTAGTGTGTGGACATTTTTCTTTTCATTTCTCTAAAATCAGATTATTCTCATAAAATTCATACAAAGTTGGGCCTAAGCCTCTATTTTCGTATTCTGCATGTTAAGATATTTATAATGTAAAACCTAAGAGATAAATTCAATGTCTTCAGTTGAGAATGAGTATAAGGTAAATGTGTGAATTCTGCTTGTTGTTGCACTATTTTTATAATAAACAAGGTTCGATACGCAACACTGAATAGACTGGAGTCATAGCTTAGTTGTAAAGAAGTTGGGACGTGGTCATGCTTGAATACGATTTTAAATATATCGCCGTTTACATTTGTTGAAATCGGCCTGTATTAATTTCAACAGGTGATCGGTGTACAAGGGCATATATTTGAGTTATTGGTTTAACGATAAGTATGACCTATGAGTGGGTAACGTTTTACAAATGCATGAAACAAATACTCCAATGGCCTAATCTCAATTTTCCTGCATAAACTATTACATTGAAATGATGGTCATTTGCTCTCTAACTTCCGCACCGCATACGTAACTTCGTAACAATTCAATAAGCCAAGACAGGACCGCTATAATCGCTACATGCCAGTGTTTATCACTGTCCTGCCATCTTTCAATGGATACTATTATTAACAATTAGCCTACACATAAACTTGACAACAAACTGTTTAATTAATACAATTGATCTTTTTGGCATTATCTTACATCATAGTGAGAAAGCACAAAGGGCAACATTTGAAAACAAATAAAATTATACAAGTCAAAAATACATATCAAACTATTGAATGTTGATCTTTATATTTCATTGAGATTGATAATGTGTCAGAAAGGAATATTGAGTTTATTAATTTACATCAGAGTGAGGAGGAACAAGGGGCAACATTGAAAAACAAAGTAATTAAGAAAAAAATTAATTATAATCAATTATGTATTATAAATATTATTATTGGAAATTTTGTGCCGAGATATGCCAGAATGCACCAGAGAGGGTCTAAATTACAAAATTGTCTGAGCTAGTATGTACCTACAGTACATGTATGTGTATTCATACCTGCCAACCTAAGACCAAAATTTTGCGGTAGATTTTTTTAAAATTGCTGTATTTTTGCGGTAGAATTTTTCAAAATACGGTAGTGTTTGCGGTAATTTCGACAAAATTGCGGTAGTTTTTGCGGTAGATTTTAGAAAAAGAAGGTAGTTTTTGCGGTAGATTTTTTAATAAATGGTAGTTTTTGCGATAGATTTAAAAAATACGGTAGTTTTTGCGGTAGATTTTTAAAAAATACTGTAGTTTCAGAGGTTTGGGGTAGATTTTTGAAAAGAGTGTAATTTTGCGGTAGAAATTTGAAATAAGCGGTAGTTTTGCGGAAGATTTAGAAAAAATGCGGTAGTTTTACGGTAGATTTTAAAAAATGCGGTAGTTTTTACGGTAGTTTTGCGAAAGATTCTGAAAAATGCGGTAGTTTTACGGTAGATTTTGAAAAAAGCGGTAGTTTTTACGGTAGTTTTTTGAAAAACCGGTAGTTTTGCGGTAGATTTTGAAAATTGCGGTAGTTTTTACGGTAATTTTTTGAAAAAAACGGTACTTTTGCGGACGATTTTGAAAAAATGCGGTAGTTTTACGGTAGATTTTGAAAATTGCAGTAGTTTTTACGGTAATTTTTTGAAAAACTGGTACTTTTGCGGAAGATTTGCCAAAATGCGGTATTTTTCGGTAGATTTTGAAAAATGTGGTAGTTAAACCTTTATACAATGCGGTTTTCTATATTAATACAATGTTTACGTGGTCATATTGTTGTTGTTATTGTGAATACATATTTTACTGCAAGAGTGCTTTTGATAATTACAGTTTGTAAAGCAGAACTACCACCTGAGAATTATACGAAACTATTATTTTCAAGAAAAAATAGATACTATTTTCAAGAATAAATAGAGACTCAACACTTTTTATTCTTCATTTACCATGCCTACAAAGGACTGACAGCAACTTTGGATTTTAATGTTTCAGCAAAATGTACAAGTACATTTATACAAGTACATTGTATATGAATACAACTCTTTTACAATAAATCTAGATTGATTCAAATACGAACATAATATTCATATCTCCACTTTTAGTCACCTTCTAACCAGTTTTTTTAGATATCAGGATGTTTGGAAATACCATGAATGAAACATTTACTGAAGTACAAAATATGGATTTTACACGTTTTTACTCACCATCTTAGATGATCTATCACTTTAACGAATTGAAAGGACAGACATAATGTTCATATAACATTGGAATCATATGGTATTAAACATTGATTTGTTCACTCGCAAGTCTCTAATGATATCAATGTGTTTGTCTGGCACAAATAGAAAATACGTACAGATCAATTGTCTTTCAAAAATAATCTGTTATGAGCATGACCTGCCGATACCTATTTATATTCGGGTTGGTGAAGGAATATTACAGGGACAGTACAGGAAGACTTCAATTTTCCAGCATTTCCCAACAATAACGGGAAATTTTACGGTACTGTTGATTTTAGCAGAAATACGGTAGATTTTCGAAAATTTACGGTAGATTTTTAAAAATTTACGGTAGATTTTACGGCCGTTCTAATGGAATAAACGAGTTTTTTAAAAAGAAAATTTACGGTAGATTACGAAAAAAATACGGTAGATTTTTTTACGGGCGTTTTTACGGGGAAAAATTGTATTTTTTTACGGTAGTTTGTCATTTTTTTACGGAAAAACGAAAAATTTACGGTAGATTCCCGTAAAAATACGGTAGGTTGGCAGGTATGGTATTATTTGAACAGATTTAGATAAAAAGAGGAAAAATTGAATTATCATTACATCCTTCATGTATTGACAATGATGATAATGAACATTATGAAATGTTACAATAAATATGTTTATGTAGTTGTAAGTTTAGTAAATATAAAATCACTCCATAAGACTACATGGTAAAAAAGACAAAAATGCCTTACATTTGTGTTACTTTAGAAAAAAACGAGTACTTGAATTTGCTTTATCCAATTTTTTCATTTTTAATTAGTTTCAGGCCTTTAATTTTTCGGACCCACTTTTTTTGGTTTGGACTCCATTTTTTTTTACCGTGGGGTCCATTGGACACACTTTTTGGTAACACTAAATAAAACGCTGAGCCCCCTCTAAATATTGGGTGCGGAGGTACGTTTATGGAGCTCCTCCTGTTGTATAGATAGTGTACCTTGAACACCATTTTTTATGAATGCTGGGGACTCAGTATTAAAAGGATAATTTCAAAATATATAGGTCTGGGAAAGGTTTAAGGCACACTGCATCGCTATAGAATGAATTGCGCTACTATTTTCACAATTGTATTGATATTTGGTGTCAAATACACATATCTTGGTATATTTGAAGTCCCAAAACGGCTTAGTTTCAGAAATATCCCAAATTTAAATTAAAAAATGACCGTTAGCTCCGCACCCTCCGCTCATTTGCTCCGCACCCAATATTTCCCACAGGCTCTGTCTGCATAGGGTGGGATAGTATTAGGGAAACATTGGCATTGTTTAAAAAAAATTGCATCTGACATTATATTTCTCCTAATATTGCCATCACATTTTGCAACATAACCTCATTTGGCCACATCTGCTGAGTGACTTATTATATGCTCAGATCAAAGACTCAGAAGAGTCTAAAATTTATATTCTATGAATCCACATTGGCTAAAAATAGCCAGCCTCTATATAGATTAGAATTACTGATAATTCTACAAATATTACACTGATAAGAACTGAAGCGTGGCTTTCGTAGACTTTTATGGATGTTTTGATGAGAAATGAAAATGTTATTGATTGTGCCATACTAATAAAATACGAATATATTGGTCTGTCAGAAGACAGGACACATAAAAAGAATTAACTGGAGATGACATGCTTGTTAAACTAATACGAAATCTACCTACCTACATATTCCTCATCAGTGTATGGCACAGGAACACTTGTACATACATAATAATCATCCTGGAAATAAAAATATTCTTTGTAAGCATAAGTGATACATGTACTGTGATGCGCACAGTATAACACGTTAATTTTACATGCTCCTAATTTCATTTTAAAGGGAGAAGGCACTCGGGAATACTTAAGTGCCGCTGATAACCCGGGGAGGCATTCTTGCGAAATAATGGTGCAGCAAATTTAAAGTGTTGCACTGGGAGTACATAGTAATTCAGTGACTTTTCATGTGCCTCGTTTTCATTTCAGGCCCAGGGGTATACTAATAAGACCTCATGATATTGTGAGTTTACTCAGCAGTACCAATGCTTAGCCAATGGGGGATATGTTTATAGAACTTGGTTGCATGGGTAAAGGGAGTAAAGCAAGCAACCTTAAAACAAAAAATTGTCTCATATTTTTGACTCGTATCATTCCTTGTCATGTTTATTTTCTAAAAATCATAGCGCATATTTTATTTGAGGAAAACTTTTTGACACACATTCATAACAAATGAAGTTCTTTGAAACTTATCAAATTAATATGGAACCTAGAATATGGCCTGCAGTAGTACCCCTGTTGCATATTACATGTATATACATCTTCGTTCGTATGCTTGGTCTTCACTGATTTCAGACAGGAGCCATGTGAATTAAGATGGCATATACGAGGCCTGATCAGAAAGTTTCTTACCAGATGCTCTCATTTTTTGTTTCTTGCAATTTTCACTTGAATACACAGAATGTACATGCAACATTGCTTGTTAGATGACATAAATCATTTTTAATTGAGAAAAATTTACACAAAATAAAGATGTTTTTGTTTTCAAAACCAGACAGGGTAGAGCTGAGTTATCTCACTTTCAAAGTGGATCAAAGCGGATTTTACACCATTTATTAATACATATAAGAAGGATAATATGAAGACTCGTCAAATGCAACACAAGTAAATGTATAGTGAAACCAGATATTTGCCATCAATATGTTCAACTTCAGGATGTGTTAACAAAAATTAACAATGATTGGTTGGTTTAAAAGGATAATAAATCATGAAATAACAATAGACTACAAGTTACATGCAAAAGCAACATAACAGCTATGATGCTATCTGATTAATAATAAACATTGACATTGTTGATATGATTTGTTCAATGCAGTTCATCCACAACGTAATCACACCGGAATAGCCTGACAACGGTGAGGTCAGATACCATATTACAAATGGCATAAATGTCGCTTCAACTGTTTAATCACTTGGTTCTCATTTCATGGGGTTTTATCATGACTTTACCGTTGTCAGGCTATTCCGGTGTGATAATGCTATGCATTGCACAATGATACTAAACTATACTTCAAAGCAAATATAAAGTTTAACTTATAAACCTATACTCATATATCATTCCATCACACATGTTTTGAAATTTTTAGTCACTAACAATGTGGATTGTTGGTATAACATTGAATTATGCAGAATATATCAAATGAGGTGACACACGCCTAACCATCGACAATGTACAGTGACAAAATATACCGTCACACACTTTAGATGTATGGTGTCACTATTAACTGATGAAGCGAAAACTATGATGTAAGTTTGATGTAGCTTTTAAAAAATTAATCTGAGGAATACATAAAGGATTTCATGCTTGATTTAGTGTGTATTCGCTTGGAAAGACTTTTAGCTTTCTGATTATGTTAAAAGATTTTCAAGCAGTGCTCGATTTTTTTTTGTAGTAAATCTACCCACAAAAATTGATCGGTCGGAAAAAAAAATTTCTCATTTTCTTTGAAATCCTTTGCGTGTGACACAGGGGCTTCAGCAGCAAGCAACAAGTGATTTTCACTGATTGTTTTCACAAAATCGCCTGCTCTTTTGAGGGACTTTTCAACTTTTCCATGTTAACTTTATGATTTCCATTAGTTTTGCCTGTTGTTTTCATTTATTTAGCCTGTTGTGAGAAATTCTAGTCAAACCCCTGTGACAGTACTGAAAATTTGGGTCAAAATTACAAATGTGAGCACATGATCCAGTAAACACTAAAAACACCTTTTTTGATTGCTTTTTTACCTTGATGTCATCATATTAGCTGTAAATAATTTACCAAAGTTGCTATAACCTTTCTAGCCCATTTTATCATAAAATCAAAAGGAAATTGCTACATTATTAATATCCATTCGTTACTGCACACTATTATTATTAAATATTTTGTTGGAAATGGGAGTATCATCCTTTTTGCTTTGCCCGTAGTTCTATGATATGAGGTCAGGACTCTCCCCAGGAAATATTTAGGGTGTAGTGCTAACATCTTCAGAATAACCGTTCAATCGGGATAAATCATATTTATGTTATGTTTTATCCTTTTTACATGCTATTATTGTATATTCAGTCAAGTTTAGACTGTGGAAACAGTCATGATTTGCCAATAGGGTGTGGAGGGAGCTAAATAGAGTGTGGTGCTGCGCCACAGTCTAAAAGCCTGGCGAGAGCCCTGGAGGTAATCTGAAATATCTGAAAATGTGGCATTATTTGAAAACAGCTATTACCTGAACCATACCTTGCTGAAATGAGCCTTATAGAAATTTCTATGTTCTGAAATTTACAGAGACGTTATCAATACAACAACAAGTGGGTGGCAAATAGCGAAATTGATTTTTTATTATCGCTATGAGGAGCAGGTTCCTCTACTTATCACCACGGCATATTAGCCTATTTATAATGAACCAAGGTAATATCTAGAGCGATGAAAAGAGATGCATTGATTGAATGAGAAAATAAGAAATATTCATCATTTAGAATAACATTGACAGGAAGCTATACAGGGAGATCATCTTCTAGATTAAGGCCACACTGCAAGAGCTGCAAGTCCATAGAGATCAAAATGATCAATGAGGATTTATTAATAGATTTCAATATAACAGATTCGCAATAACGGATGAAGATCATCCTCTAGGCAATAACATACCTGTATATGGATTTACATATTTCTCTCTCAAATGAACAGATTCAAGTGCGTGGACTTTTAGACCCGAATGTTCCATGTTTTGACATCTTTGTTTTAGGAATTAGCATGACTCCCTCAAGTATAAAGACTTCCCAAGATGCATTTACAGTGAAACTTATTTCTGAACCCCTCTCTTATATGAAAATCTCTCAATTTGAACGCTTTTTTCAGTCCCAAATTTACTCATTGACCTACATGTTGAAAAAATCTGAACACCTGTTAATCCAAACACATTTAATTGGTCCCAGAGGCATTCAGATAAGACAGGTTTTACTGTATGACAAAAATCATAATTAACCCCCTGCATATTTAGTTAGTCCAGCATGAAGTTCCTGTGTCCCCAGTTCTTTCTTTCACATAAGATTATGTAGCAAAATAGAGATAGCAGGTTGACACTGACCTTTGCATACTAATAAAAGATATACTTACAGAAGGAGGTACTATCCCTGGCATTTTGACTTCCAGCTTGTTTACTATCATACTGTCATCAGATCTTGTCTCCCTCTTGGATCCATGCAAACCCATTCCAGATACAGCACCAACAATGTACAGCCACAACACTACCCCCTTCTCCATATAGTTCACCCTCATCATGGAATAGCCGTATGTGGAGAATGCTTTAAATGTCAAATATTAATCCAACTTCAGAAATTAATTCTGCGGGTGTTGTATGATCGTGTTCTTAGATATGTTAATCCAGTTACATAGACTAGGTTTATCAAAGCTTGTATACAATACTTATGCTCATGTCAAATACTTATGCTTATATCTAATACTTATGCTCATACAGTATCACTTACGCTTATATATCCAATATTATAGTTAATTTGGAATAGAGGTTTTCATGTATGTTATTAAACACTATGACTGTATGACTGTGATAATAGTTTTGGCCTCGTGTTCTGCTAATAGGTCCAACCTTTCTTATAAATACTAATCACAATCTCTTAAGGGACCATATATGTACATAATAAGCAGGTATGTTCTCATGAATACTGTATGAATACTGATGTATGTTTCTCCAGCAAATTGCTTAGAATCCCCTTGTTTGGTTTCCTTTGATATGATGTTATTGTGGCAATTCTCAACTTAATTGTGAATTTTATCACTTTAGCCAATGGTTTAATTAACAACGAGCCTACATGCTAAAATACTGGATCAATTACAGATATGTCATCGCGATGAACTATTTTATCACTCGCTATTTCCAGTTTCATTGATTCGTGTCCTCTTGATGTTTTAGTCTTCAATGTTCCAATTATAACAAAATAGCAGCTGCTAAGTCGAGAGCACGGAGCGTTCAAATAACGTTATGTTCCCCAGATTAAGTAAAGCAATGCAGTGGGGAGTCTATCTCACAGAAGGAGCTTAGGGTCTTGTACGTTTAATCCTATATACTGGTTGAGAATATTGATTATTAGAGGCTTGGCTAGGTTTCGCTTCTTTCTGCCTATCGTTTGTAAATGTCACACAATTATGGCAAAGACGTCATCAGTTTTACGACTTAGTTACTTCAAGTACTGCCCTGGAAATAGAAAAATATCAATATCATTTTTTATGATTTTACTCTTTTATTTCAAAGATCTAAATACAATTCTCCAAGAATTACAATGTTTACATGTTGCAAACAGGAAATAGAATTATCATTAAATAATCATCGATGATTCTGTCAATATATAACTCAATGATAACAACATTACACAACACACTATATGACTAGATTGTACATGAAATAGCATTGAAAGAATGGAAGATACATACATGTTTATTTAACATTTGCAAATAGATAATGATAATCATTTACAAAAAATCTGTATGATATTTTGCCTTAGCACATTCCTTTTAATCATCTTTTATTCCATACAAAATTGTTAAGTTAACGTATTATAGTAAAACCTGTCTTGGTGAACACCTCTCTCTAGTAAAATCCTGTGTCTCTAGTAGATGCCCTTCCTCCACATATACAGGGTGTCAAAAAACAACGGCACCCCCCTCTACAGCAAAAAGTACTTAATATTACATGGTGCGTCATATCTCATTTTAAAGACAATTTAATTCTGGAGTTACCTGAGAAATTTCAGCTTTATATCATATAATTTTACAGATTTACAGCTGATTCTTGGTAGTTGGCCAGGGTTTCAATAAATATTTTTTCAACAGGCTTTTTGGCAATTTCAACAGGCTGAAACTTATTTCACTAAAATAATTTAGGGTAAGGTAAGTAACAGTGAATTTTATTTCTACATATTTGAACAGGCGTAATTTAGATTTGAACAGGCGTTTTCGCCATCCGCCTGTGCTTATTGAAACCCCTGGTTGGTATGACCACCAGTTGCTGCTCAAACAGCAGCTTATCTGGACGGATATGATTTCAATGAAAATTCAGATAAATGTGTAGCATTGCATAATTCTCTAAGCACTTTCCTCAAATTCTTCAGAAATACATTCTCACTGTATCTTTTTTCAAGAGGCTCTTTGTCCATCAGTTCCTATACCCTTTTTTCAGAACTGAACCCATATGTTCAGTGCAGTTGAAATCTGAGTTAATTCTTTCATATTCCACTTTCTGAAGATTTGACCTTTAACCAGTAACAGAGCAGCAAATAAAGTACCAAAGTAGCAAACTTAAAAACAATGTAACTTTTTTAATATAAAGTTTTATTAAATGAAATTTGAGGAGTAACTCCAGAATTAAATTATCTTTCAAATGATGTATGACACAATATGGAGCATTCAGGACTTTTTGCTGTAGAGGGGGGTGCCGTTGTTTTTTGACACCCTGTATACTCTACTGATTTCTGTTTAAATTACCCTCTCTGAAGTGAACACCAACCAACACTGAATGTTTTTTTTGGCAAAACGCCGTTCTATATACACAGGTTTTACTGTATAATATTTTTCAGTATTACCTTTCTCTCTCATCACAAATCAGGAACACATAATAAATGATAAATGAAAACAATGCCTTAATGTGATTGATTTGCAATAAAACATAATTGTCATTCCATATTATCCTTGAACATTCATAGTATAAATTCATAGCTACAGTTCCTCTCATTGAAAGTGTCTGTTCACAGCCTCAGGAAATAAACAAACATGTAATTGAACATGTACCATGTGGAAATGAAATGTGAAGTCGATCAGTTTATTACAATTGAAACGACTCTCTCATAAATGATAAAATTGCAACAGTTCTAGCATGTTAATGTGACACCATTAATCTATAAATTGACTTTTTGTTTTATTTTATGACTGAATTGAACAGGTTCAACAGCTGAGAGTATAAAATAAAATGATGGTATCATTATTATATGGATTGAAATACAGCTCAGATCAATAGATTGATATGGCACAATATCAATCAATTCTTCTGAACTTTTTCATTCTCACATGTTTTAAAGTTTAATATCAAGCCATTTTTGGTATAATACAGTAAAACCTGTTTTAGTGAACACTTGTCGCTAGTGAACACTTGCTTCCTCCGCATACTCTATTGACTTCTGTATAAATTACCTTCTCTATAGTGTAAACCTACCAATACTGAACACTTTTTTGGCAAAAAATGTTTAATATACATGTACATTGGTTTCAGAGTGATTAACATTCAAAATGTTCATAGGATTTTTGAAGTAATTTTGTACAAGTGGGAGAGAAATAAAACCTGCCTCACCTAAACACCATTGGGACCAGCTAAAAGGATTCTCATGTAAAAGAGGTTTTGGGTATGGAGCTTTTTGCATCCATGTGACAAGATTCTGGATTTTGAAGATATATTAGTGTTCAGATTGGAAGATGTTCGGATGATCCAGGTGTTTGGACAAACTCAATCATGAGTAGACAAACCAGGGCATATATGTTGGAGTGTAAAAAGTTTGAAACATAACTCCAATGAATGATATTAATTAGTCCACCCGCTATGGCTCAGTGGCAGAGAGAGTCAAGGTTACCAATATCGCTTGGCCCCGGGTTCGATTCCCGGTTCAGACAAGTTTGTTTGTGCGTTATGTAATTCTGGGTGTTTGACTGAGTGGTTCACGACTCGTATAAAAGGCTGTGGTGTGTACCTGTATGTCTGTGTACCTGTGCACATAAAAGAAAACAGGGCTCCTCCAAGGAGAGGTTTCTGGCTCTATCTTCGAGTGTAAAATACGTAAAATACGGAATATACCAATGAGGTATTGCTCGCCAAATATGGCGGTAACCAAGATATAATAATAATAATAATAATGCCTGAAATCATGTCCGTCTTCAAATTGACAAGGCACTGAGAGAACAAAAATGGCAACCATTAAATCTATCCAGCATCCCAAACACTTACAGTACTTACAGTAATTTGAAATGAATTTCATTATTCAATTTGTCTAAAAAGCCCTAAAAGGCGAAAAATCTAGATGCCACCATCTGATGCCAAATTCCATAGCATTGTTTAGGTTTCTGTAAAAATTGAAATATATCATACAATCATACATCCTACCTGCCATTATAACAGCGTCATCCTCCCTAGACAAATAGATTCATACTTCTAGTAATTATTTTATCATCTTACATAATCTAGTGAACAAACAGAAATTATTCTTTAAGATATTTCCCAATATTGACAAACAAGATTTTTGTGTACTTACTTCTTTAAAGCTCCAGTGTATAAATATGACTTAAAATCCATCTGCACATTTGAACATGTTTACCAAATATTAATATGAAAAAAACACTGCTACCAGTTTTAACATACATGAATAATATAACTTAACAACTGGAGCAACTCAACTTCAGCTAGGTTGTTATGATCCCAAATTCCACATGTAACAACACAATTCTTAGAACATAGACAAAAAGGAAATTTGATATACTATAGTCTCTGATACTATACAACTTCCTAGTAGATAAGACTGTACAGATAAATAACTAAAATGCCCATTATGACATTTATATGTCATGTATATTCTATAGAGACCTTATAGTTATAATTGAAGAATATATATTTCTCTGGGGACAAAAGATAATATTTCAGAACAGTTTATCCTTTGATACAGAAATAAGCATTTAGTGTTCATCAATACAATAGTGGATACTAGATACAGTAAAACCTGTTTTAGAGAACATTTCTCTCTATGCCTGTCTCTAGTGAACACCTGTCTCTAGGAGACACCATTCCTCTGCATACTCCACTGACTTCTGTATAAATCACCCTCTCTGTTGTGAACACCTACCAACACTTCAAATGTTTTTTCCTGGCAAAAAAATGTTCAATATACCCAGGTTTTAATGCAGTTATATTAATGTGTGGAAGTAGACTTGGAGGAAATGTTTACTCTTATAATTCTAGTGGTGTTGTATTGATTATATTGCATTATACATGCTAGTTATCATGTATATTTACTTGGTGCATGCCAGAGTATGTGTCAGAAAGATCTGAAGATGCGACGTGTATCAGAATGTGATATGCACTGGCGGATCTGGGGGGGGGGGGGGCTGGGGTCATTACTGGCCCTTTAAGGCCTTATTTTTTAATTTCAGGCCAAATTTTGAAGAAAATGGTCCTCAAAATTTCAAAATTTTGGCCCACTTTTGGGTTTTAGGGCCCCAAAATTTTATTGCGGAAGTTTTTTTCTCTGACCTGAAATTTGCCTCCCCCCTCTTGTTGGTTCCCAGATCCACCCCTGATATGTGTAAAATAATCTATGAACAAATTTTCTCAAGGTGGCCTTTATAATATGCTGATTGAGCATTACAATATACGGAGAAAAGTTGTAATCTTTAAAGATCCCCCAAAAATTTGGGGGATTCCAAAAGTATTTGGAGCATAAATACTCAAATACAGCAGAACTGCATTTTTGTGTATCTTGCAGCTGGTCTACCTACATATTCTAACATCTCAGAGAATTTAATTTCAAATTGATCATTTTCAGACCAAAATATCTGCCCATGAAAAGTAGGCCACATGGCAAATTTAGGCATCATTATTCATTAAGAATGCCTCGCTTGGAAACTAACCTAACAAAGGCCCAAATTTTCAAGTGAAAATTTCAAAAATATAAGTGTTCCTCTTGTATATAATAATGTTAAGTTTTCCCCTCCAAATCATACCCATGAACATCTTTAAATAACTGGAGATGCTAAAGTAATTATCTTCAGGCCACATTCATTTTAGTATGAGTAACAACATCATGATATTGATGATGTAATAATGATAAGATTATAATGAAGTCCTCCATGTTCACCAACTGATCATGTACTCAAGCCTTACCATTAAGTTTATCTGATTCATGCATGCATTTTTCATGAATTCAAATTCTTCTATTTACAATGTATCTTGATGAACTCTCCTTACTTTCAGAATTATTAATAATTATTTTTTTCTGAGAAAAATGTCAGGCTTTTCTATTGAGGTACTACATTGAGGTTAGAGTCAACATTAAAGTTAAAATGAGAATCAGGCATCGACAACCATTTAAATTCCCCTCTGGGGGTATAATGCTTAAAAGTGTAAATCTGTACACCCTAGATAGACTAAATAAAATGTTTGTGTAGCATACCCTACCCTTCATGACAAATGAGACAAGAACAACACCCTGCTTAGTGAAACCTGACTACACACATGAATGAGGCAACCAACACAAACAATCATGTTTTATAAAAATATTTATTGCAAGGCAACTATTGATTTCCCCATATTGTATCTCTCAACAAACAAATAGTGAATTATGATTTGTGAAGTACTAAATTAACTTTCACAGTAGTTCTATAATGAAAAGTAATTGAAATAATCTTCACAAAGAGAGACAAACTGCATGTACAACTGATTGCCTTTTAGCTTAAGAATTGACAAAATGTGATTAATAGTACAGACTGATCTCCCCAGCATTAAAACAAGTGGGTGCGGCACCCACCTGAGATTTTGAAAATAGAATCCACTCCCCCCTCCATCCAATATTAATTTATTTCGATTATTTTTTGTATAACGCATGGAAACTAACTTTAACAAGGCACAGACCTGAACAATATCGTACCTAAAACACAGCAGTGTGACAGTGAAGAATTTAGGACGGAAAATCCAGAATGGCCACCTTAAAATTTACCCAGAATGCCCAAAAACTAATCGGTTCTTAACTTTGATACGTAGAAACATCCCTGAAAATTTCAGATGAATCCATCAAATGGTTTGGCTGGAAACCTGTAGACAAGTCTTGAAAGTGAAGATTTTAGGACAGAAAATCCAAAATGGCCACCTTAAAATTAACCCAGAATGCCCAAAAACTAATCAATTGTTAACTTTGATATGTAGAAACATCCCTGTAAATTTCAAATGAATCCGTCAAATGGTTTGGCTGGAAACCTGTAGACAAGTCTTGAAAGTGAAGATTTTAGGACGGAAAATCCGAAATGGCCACCTTAAATTTTACCCAGAATGCCAAAAAACTAATCAGTTCTTAACTTTGATAAGTAGAAACATCCCTGAAAATTTCAGATGAATCCGTCAAATGGTTTGGCTGGAAACCTGTAGATAAGTCTTGAAAGTGAAGATTTTAGGACAGAAAATCCAAAATGGCCACCTTAAAATTAACCCAGAATGCCCAAAAACTAATCATTTCTTAACTTTGATACGTAGAAACATTCCTGACGGAAAATCCAAAATGGCCACCTTAAAATTTACCCAGAATGCCCAAAAACTAATCAGTTCTTAACTTTGATACCTAGAAACATTCCTGAAAATTTCAGATGAATCTGTCAAATGGTTTGGCTGGAAACCTGTAGACAAGCTGAAAAGTGAGACGCCGCCCGCCGAAGATTTTAGGACGGAAAATCCAAAATGGCCACCTTAAATTTTACCCAGAATGCCAAAAAACTAATCAGTTCTTAACTTTGATACGTAGAAACATCCCTGAAAATTTCAGATGAATCCGTCAAATGGTTTGGCTGGAAACCTGTAGACAAGTCTTGAAAGTGAAGATTTTAGGACGGAAAATCCAAAATGGCCGCCGCCCGCCCGCCAAGCTGACGACAATATCGTACCTTTATTAGGTACGATAACAATATCGTACCTTTATTAGGTACGATAAAAAGTGAGAAATGTCATTAGTGTTGTGATAATAACGTCCCTTATACCTATTTATTACAGGTCGTGTAGACCATTGTTGCCTGATTTATAGCAAAAACATTGACTTTTGCACGTTAGTGATGATGTGCCTTCTTAAATAGATCTCACATCTTAGAAGTGTATCAGTTCAAAAAAAATACTAGAAGACCTAACATATTTTGCCATTCACTACACTTATTCATTTGCCAATTCAGTTGTAAATTTTCTCTTGAAAAAATAAAACTTCCAAATTTGTTGAGTTTTCTTGCAGAAATCACCTACTCCCCCCCTCCATTCATTTTGTACGATCACCGGGCATGAATAAGTACGAAAAAGAGTATTTGCAAATACTGTGGATATACATTGTTACATAGATTAGATGTTCAGAACAAAAAATCTGTAAATCCATGGGCTTTTAACTTTCAACATTATATGCATGAAAAGTAACCATACATCTACAAGTACTGTACTTAGTCCCTTTGGCTTAATGTTCTGACTACTAGTTCTGACTCCACAATTTGCTGTTGATCTTTGTAAACCAAGACATGGTCAAGAAGAAAAAGTGCTCAATAAACCTGATTAATGAAGACAAATTACAGTTGCCATGACAATCAATGATGCAGGTGCACCTCTTAGGGAGAACAATATTAACTCACTTAACATGGGAGGCTGTAGCTTTTAAAACACATTCATAAGGGGTAAACTAGAATATTGACTATGAGGAAATATATTTCATATGAACCTCTGCATAGGAGTAATTTTTTCACAAGTTTTCAAGTTAGACACAAAAAACAGGCCCAAAATTCATTTAGATATAAAATTGGCTAATTTGACTATCATGATGACAGGGCGTGCGATGACATGGAATTGAATGGCAGAGTTATGGTTGATATGGTATCAGCTGCAATCATTGGATGACAGGACATAGCATCACAGAACAAAGCATGACAGGGCAATTGATGACAGGGCAATTGATGACAGGGTGAAATGGTATGAGTAAATTGATGAGTCAAGTAGGCTGACAACTACAGCAACAAGAAGTGGATATTTTTCGAACCTCCTCAATTAAATATAAAGAAACATCTCGATAAGTTGTAAGTAAGAATTGCATGTTACCATGGCAATTGTTGTCGGATACATTATAGGCGAGTGGGAGATCCAGCAAAAAGGCCTTATTTGTTGACCTTAATTAAGATAGCTTGCAACCGCATGAGTCATACCTGACTTTCATAATATGAATATGCAGATTTCAAAAATGGCAATAATAAAAATTGAAAAATGGCCGATCACTATGGAAACGGGACGCAAAAGCCACGCCCACTTTTTAAATTTCTTACTTGGTGGTTAATACATTTTAGACTGTAACTTTCTCGATTTTTAACAAATCTTCACATTATTGGTATCTGCTGAGGCGTATCAATAAGTTCTTTCACCTGAAGCATGAATAATGTTAATTCGCTCATTTGCATATCAATTATGACGTCATAACCCTTCTTTTGGCCTCAATTTTCCATATAATTACAACAAAGTAACAGTGTTTTATTAGTTACACTTCTTAAAAATGGATAAAAGTAGGTAAATATACTGCCAATACAAGCAAGAGTATGTCGGGTTTTGGGATATACTGATATTGAAGGCTGCAGTTGGTTAGAATAACATAAAAACTCGTTGCCATGGTTACCGTGAACTTT